CGCAAATGGCTACCATATTGAAAAATATACTATTTTTGTATGATAATTATGGGTTTTGTATTTTATTTTAATAGAAGTTGATGTTGCTTTTGCAATTATCCATCAATTTTTTAAAATTAAACACTATCTACAGATTTGCATCGAAGCGTTTCTTATGATAGTGATTTTAATCACTGTCAGATTAAATCTATACTGGACCCTACTATGCAATGTCTCTACTATGCCGCGACCCCACTGTGCTACCGTTTTTCACTATTATATTAACAATTATAATATATTGTTCAAACATTTTTTATTTTATATTTAATATTTATAATTTGAATTTTTCTTTTAGCTTCAATGCGAAGCTGAGAAGGCATTGGTTTTACTATGATGTGTTTTTTTTTTGTGTCTGTTGCCACTTTTTCTCAGCTTTCACAGAACGGATTTCTTTCAACGATACGTCAAAAGATCACAAATCGTATCTAGTCGAAGACATTACCCTTCAAAACTGAAAATTTCCCTTACTTTGTGTTCTCCTTTGTCAAACTCGTACTCTATATACTCTGTCTTACTTCTACTTATTCTTAAACTCTTTTCTTTAATAGCTGATCTCCACACCTCTAGCCTTTGATGAATTTCCTCCCTACTTATTCCTATTAACACTACATCGTCAGCATACAATATGCACCTCGGCACCTCTTCTTGTATATTTATAGTAATTTCATCCATCACTATAGAGAATAAATAAGGGCTTAAAGCAGAACCTTGGTGCACTCCTACTCTTACCCGAAAACCTTCTGATACTTCTCCTACACTTTTTACCATGGTACAAGTGTCATCATACATTTCTGCTATTTATTAATGTACCTTTTCGGGACTCCTTTTCTTATTAATGCCCACTTTAAAACCTCACTCGGTATATACATGTATGTATTACATATGTAATATCATACACAGCTTTTTCTTCTTTTCTCTAAACTTTTCTATTAGTTGCCTCACACAAAATTCTGGCTCCATTGTTGACTTACCAGACATAAATCTCAACTAGTTTTTAGATACCGATGTCTCATTTCTTATTCACTTGTCTATTACCTTTTCCCAAATTTTCATACTATGACTCAAAAGCTTTATTCCTCTATAATTCCCACACTCCTGTATGTCTCCTTTAACTTTAAATATCAGCACCACAATACTATTCCTCATTCATTTGGAATGTTCCCTTCTAAAAAGATTTTATTTATAAGTTCCTTCAACCATCTTATGCCAACACCGCCTAATATTTTCCATACTACTACTGACACTTCATCTGGTCTAACAGCTTTATTCTTTTTCATTTATGCCACAGCTTCCCATACCTCTTTCTCACTAATTAAATCGATCAGTCCCTCATTCCACGAGATATCCTCTAATGACTCATTCAGTAATTTTTCAAAATACTCTTTCAACCTTTTTCACATCATCATCAATCGAGAGTACCTTATTATCAACACTTTTTATACATCTTATATAATGATAATCTTTAGACCTTTTCTTACTTACCTTTGCAAGTCTATAGATTTCTTTCTCGCTTTCCTTTGTTCCTAGCCTATCATACCTCTTAAACTTCGTCTTACTTACTGCACATTTGGCTTCTTTGCACAAGCGTTTATACTCCATTCAGTCTTCTCTCCTTTTGCTCTTCTGCCATACTTTGAATTGTTTTTTCTTACTTTATATGATTTTTTGAACGTCCTCATCCCATCACCAGGTTTTCTTGTTTCCTGGCATTCTACTCCTACGCTCACCAATAATCTCCTTTGCAGTATTCTTTACACAACTAGCAAATCTATTCCACACATCATTTATTTCTTCCTCGATATTCCACACCATCCTCTCTTTTACTCCGGCTTTCGACCTGACGCAACCTCATTAGTTGCCTCTTGCGACTTGCAGAGTAGCCGTGGAAGTATTCTTATCCCCTATCCACTGGGAAATTAATTGTGAATACATACATTTATCTATAAATTATCCTAATTTTAATCAATTTTTTTAAAAGTGTAATGGTAAAAATCCCTTTGCCTCTATTTGTAGATCTAAAAGTAATACTAAAATTATACACGATATAACTGGTAATGTATAGATATATAGTCTGTTTATATATTTTTTAAGTAGTAATTATGATGATTATGTGTGGTATAAAGAGCTTATTATAAGCAATAAAAAAAAAGTGTTTTAAGGTACCATTTAAGTTAAATTTAGTAGTACAAGCTAATATCTTGTCACTTGAGAAGTTTCGTTATTTTGCGTGATTGTCAAGGAAATGATACATCTTTTTAAAATAAATAATAAAGATAATTTTATTTTCTTTATTATATGATTTTTTGTATTTTATACATTTAATAGTATAACATAATTTCTAAATAAAATCTATAATATAATAATTTAATAAAAAAAAATTGAATTTTTGGTTGTGTAATTGAGTATTATATTCTAAAATTAAAAAAAATTACATTTAACTTTTCGGAGGAATCTTAACTAGTTGCCTCTGAAAATGTCTTTGCCAAACACAGATACACATTAACACACATTTATAATACTGTAATTTAAATTAAATGTGGATTTAATCGTCTTGTACTTTGAAGACTAATATTTCTCAGAGGGGGGCATTATGATAAACAAAATTTTCATTAAATTAAATTCATATTATGTAACTATTTTTAATTATGTTCATAATGTAAATTGGTTTAGTAAAAATAAATAAATATAGAACTGCAAAGTTAAAAATATTTACGCGTATCCATAAATTAGAATATTTTATAAATTTAATATATTTTATGCATTAAAATAATTATAATATTTGGTGTAACTCATACTTGCCTTGTGTTTTGAGAATTTATTTTGTTACAAAAAAATAAAAATAACAAAGTTCATTGTAAAATGGAATATAATATCCATATACTAGAGCTCTGCATGGTCCGAATTTTCAAGGACCGGACCGAACCATACAGAAAAACTAAAAAAAAGACCGGACTAAACTGTTATATGAAATTTAAATTGGACCAGACCGGATAGAAATTTTAAATGCATCGAACCGAGCCGGACTATAAAATAAAAAAAAATTCTAGACCGAACCAAACCATTAAATAAAAAAACTCTGTCCAGATTAAATTAAACCAGATACGACAAAAATGTTGTCATAACACTTTTAAATTTCTTCCATACACTTTTCCCATTGTGAGGAAACAAAGTATAATCACCAAAATCACTCAATAATTTTCTTTTAACAGTATTTTTAGAGACGGTTATTGCTGGATTTTTTTCTAAATTTATTGTTGATTGAGTTGTATTCTCTAAGTTAGAAGGAATAATAGAATTATTTGAAAAGTCATCATCAATAGAGCTCACCAAAGTTGAGTTCAAGAGCTCGCGAATTTGTTGAGAATTATTCATGATTCTAAAAAAAAACAAGACTAAAATGTTTTTTTTTAACTATAATTATTTTTATTTTGTGTGTAATTGAGTTAATGATTTATGATTAATGAATCACCCTGTATAGGCTATACAGAAAATTCAATAACTCAAAAATATCCTTAAGTAAATAATAATTTCAAATTCGTGTTATATAGAATTTAACATATTTAGTTTATACATACAGAATGATTTCTTAACTATGCCTCACGAAATAGCTTTGAAATTATTATTGTTAATCATTTTTTTTTATTACATTAACGATTCATTGTTGAGCAATTTAAACGAAAATTTAATTTTGTGTATTTTCAAATATCAAATGGCAACCCCAATTTTTTTCATACCATCAAATTTATTTGAAAAAAATATTGTCTTACATATAGGGTAATTGTTAATTATTACGATATATTTGAATAAGCTTTCACTTAAAATGTTAAGTAAAAGCCATTAGTTTATTTAGCCTAAGTTAAATTTTTGGTTCAACAAGTTATTATTAGCATATTATTTTACATCGATAAATATTTTACGAGTAACGTTTAATTTTAAAACAAAAAATTAACACTTATCAATATAAAGCTGTACAAAACAAAATAATTTTCTATCTCTCCTAAAAAGCATATGTGCTTATTTTTATTATACTATTTTTTAAATAATTAAAAATTTATTTTATAAAAAGAAATACTTACAGGCAGATTGAAAATAACTGATGACTTTCGTTGATGATAAAGAAATAAAGCCAGATCATTGTGTTGGTTGATATTTCCCAACTTTATTTTATCCAACATAATTTACAAAGACTCATAAATGTAATATTGTTATTAATACAAGGGTAATTCTTTAAAAACACGGTTTTAAGTCTTAACTGAATTAAAATAATATTGTATGTTAAATGGGCAGTAATAGCCTTTCTATGTCTAGACATAATTATAGTCAATAAAAACGATCAGTTTATTCCAAAGTGTACAGAAAAACTATGAAATAATATAATACACTTAACGATTGACAGCGTAAAAAAGCAATACATTATGCACTATGATTTTAAATCACATTTCAGGATCCTGGAAATTCTATTGGCACGTGAGTCATTATTTGAAAGAATTCAGCTTTTATGTGACATTTATTGTATTAATTTTTAGTGAGTGTTATCATCGTTCACTATAATGAAAATAATTTAAATCTATTACGATAAAAATTATGATTTTTTTTTATTATATCACAGGCGAGTTTCTACTAAAAACAATAATACAAATATATTTATAATACTATACTGCTATTAAAAGTGGACTATTATCTCAATTTGAAGATGGACCGAGACCGGATCCTTGAATTCTTTTAAAGACCAGAACTGGACCGATGAACTTTTTAAGGGACCGTAAAAAAAAGGACCGATAATTTTTAACTACAGACCAACTAGGATCAGACCAATTTATTATTTGAAGTATAAGACTGAACCGGACCGAACCGTGGTTTAGTCTGGTTCAGTCCGGACCGGTTCAAACCGAACCATGCAGAGCTCTACCATATATTGTATGACAAATTTTTATGTTTAACAACAAATTATCAGAATATTCACTTCAAAGATCGAAAAAATGTTTTCTATTCACGTAAACTTTTCACAAATATCAATAGGAAAACACTATGGCTTAAGTTTTTGAGATTTTGTGAATTTTTTTAAATATATTTAAACTATTATAAATAGTATTTATTATGAGAGATAAATATATTTTATAGGTTTTTCTATTACAAAAAAACAACCCTGCACAGTGGGGTCGTGGCATAGTTGGATCAAGTATAACGATATCTGACAGTAATTAAAATCACTATAAAAAAAAAACGCTTCGATGCAAATCTTTAGATAGTGTTTAATTTTAAAAAATTGGTGGATTATTCTAAAAGCTACATTATCTGCTAGTTCCTTATTAATATCCTGATTAAGATAAAGTATGTCGAATGAAAAAGAGATTTTTAAAAAATATTATTTCTCAAAAAAAATTGTGTTGATCCATAAACTTTGCAATAAGTTATATCATTATAAAGTTAAAAATATAAAAAAAATTTTTTTTTACAAAAATCGTATTTTTTTTATTAACTTTGATGTCTGTTTTTACAATGAAAAAAAAATAAAGTCTGAAATTTTTTTTTTCCGTAATAAAGTATATTACATTACCATTTATTTAAGATATATATAAAAGTGTAAGAGTTTCAAGAACACATTAAAAAGTTAAGTTGAAAAAGTTAATTTTTTGTGAAAAGTTGTCATTTTAAATCCCTTCCTGTGAGCAGGTTTAGGGTCAGATTTATAAAAAAATATATCAAATGATAGGTAAAAACATTATACGTCTATTAAATAAAAAATTATATTGATTTGTTCAATTTTGAAAAAGTTACGGCAGTTTTAAGTAAAAAAAATTTAAAAAATTTCGAAAATTAACTATTTTTAAATTTGTAATTTTTTTGAAGGTTTCCCCCAATTACGAGGAACGATGAAATTTATCGAATGCTATTTTTGTGTGAAAATTCTTGATTTAATATTTTACATTTTCAACTTTAAAATGTTATAACTTTTTGAAAAACGTATGGATAATATAATATAATATTTTTTAAAAATCTCTTTTTCATTCGACATACTTTATCTTAATCAGTATATTAATAAGGAACTAGCAGATCATGTAGCTTTTAGAATAATCCACCAATTTTTTAAAATTAAACACTATCTAAAGATTTGCATCGAAGCGTTTATTTTTGATAGTGATTTTACTCACTGTCAGATATCATTATACTTGATCCAACTATGCCACGTCATCACTGTGCCATAACCCCCCCGTGCTGTGTTTTTTTTTATTGCCTCATTATAACTGAAAACAAATTTTTTTAAGGTACTATTTATTTATAAAATAAAAAATTTCTTCGTTGAAACATTATTTACTCAAGAACTCAATAAATTACTAAGTACTATAAATAATATGTTAATTGATAATTAAATAAAAATCTGTTATAAAAAAAAAAAAAATAATTTATTAACTACTAAAATTATATTATGTATCTTTGGATGTTGTAAAAACATTTACAGAAGTTGCTATTATTATATAAATGTATAATGCACGGGATAGTAACTTTTTACCGTAAATAAGTCGTAGAAGTATAATATTTATAAATTATTGCTACTTCAACTGTTATAAATTTGTAAAACGATTACTGTTTGATTAAGTTAAGAAATGTAGAGTTAAAACTTAGATAGTATCATTAATAAATTAGAGACAAGGGGACTTATATACTGTAAATATAACTATTCACATTAAATACAAAAACTACAAAATTAATTTTTCTAGGCAAATAAAATTATAAAACATTAAAATGTGCGCTCAAAAGGATTAATTTTCAGATTTTTCAAAACTTTCAACATTTTTTAATTCCCCGGGAAAAATATAGTTTATACATTTCTTGTTAAATTTTATAATATCTCTCGATGATTTTCATTATGTTTTTTCACAAGTTCACATACAATATTAATAGAAATAAATAGAAATAATTTAAATAAGACTGTTGGTACAATAATTAATTGGTATTAAAAATTGTAGGCTGAACTCCCACTATACAAGTCTTCATGAAGTAACTGTCTCAGATTTTCATTAAAGCTTATATACATTTTTTGTATTATGATACAACAAAGTTGGTGCCTAAATGTTAACATTTAAACTTGTCACAGTTTGTTAGCAAAATTGAATGAATAAGAGTTATTAGCAGTATAAATATAAGGATGTTCAAGAGTCGGGCACAAAAATTCTTGCATAATGTAGTCCATTGAAGATTCAGATTTTGCGCCTACGGGTTGCATCATATTGTTCCATAATAAATTAGCAGCTATAAAATACAAACAAGGTACACTTTAAAAAGTCAAAAGTATTATTATTTCAACGATTAATTATACAAATAAGTATTCTAACCTAAAGCGTGTCCTTTTTGGCTAAAATGAAAGCAATCATAAGTAACATATGAAATATCAATAACTTCCTCAAATTGTCGTTTTTTGTCTAGTGGAGCGTTAAAAAGTTTGATAAAAGGCTGAATAACAACAGTAAAGTCTTCTTTTTTATTATATTTTCCACTATTGATCTAAATTTGATTGAATGATCATTAAAATTTGAATTTGTTATGTATATTTTTTTAATTGACCATGTACCAACCAATATTTGTTCAGCGCCTTGATAATCTCTCACTAGTTGCGTGATTTCATCCATTTCGTTGACGTTTCCTCTTTGATGAAAACATGCGCAGAAAAATCTATGAAGCATATGGCACATGAATGATCTTTTCACTCGAACACTGACCGATACGTCTGCAATGTCATAGATAGTACCAAAAATATAAATCTAACAGTAATTTAAATTTGTAACCTCGAGGCCAAAGCACATCGATTGTTTAACTAACGTTATGTCGACTTTATAACCTGTGATAGCTTTCACTTTTGTTCATTGGTAAGCTCTTGGGAAAGATCATTTCTTATGCGAATCACGTCTTTTATAGACACCGACTATTATTGTGCCTTATAGTGTCAACTAACAGCCCACTTTCTTTAGTTTATATACATACAATCGTATACACTATCTATTGCGAGAAGTTTTAACACCTCAAGGTCATTTGATATACCACAAATAAAAAATAATATTCATAATTAAATGAGGAACTACATCTTTGTGATAAAACTCCTGAACGATGATACATAATACACACATAATAGATTGAATTATGACGAAGAATACATTTTTAACTTTATTTGACTAATGCAAAAAAAATGGCTACCCCAAAAAAAAATATTGATATACTAAAAAAATTATGATTTATGTTTTCTAATAAAAATATAAAATGATTTAGTATTTAGATAAATATAAATTTAGATGTGGAAGAATAGCATTATCTTCCGATCTAACTTATAAATCGACTTCTTATTTTCAATATTGAATCATGTAAAACTATGCTTAATTTCGTGAAAGTAAGAAAGTTAAAAACTATTTTTAGGAATACTGTTTATGTATTGGTAAAAGATCATTTTGACAAATATTTTACCATGGAAATTGATAGTGATAGGTCTAAAGATTAAGGATAGGATGAAAATGTCAGTTAATATTTTACTTGCTGCGGTCTGATGTACCTATCGAAGTAGACTGATTCAAGTTGTATAATAAATGATGTGTGGTGAATGAACGATAATGATATTACGTTTTCAATGGCTTTGGTAGGGTGTTGGTCGTGAAAGTGAATTGGCGTGACTCTCATTCACTTAATATATTTGATTCAATTCCGGTTGAACTACTAAAGGTATGCTATTTTCCTACTCTTCGAATTCTCTAGGTACATTTATTATCAGTAATGTTCAAAAACTCACTTAACCCTTAATGAAATTTTAACCTTGTGTTATGCGATCATACTTTTAAAATATTTTCTCTCTGAACCTAACAAATTAATAGCAACCGGTCGATGGCATGAACAAGTAGAACAGATACTCACCTAGTACTGGTACAAGATTAACTATGGTTCTAGGTAAATTATCTTGAAGGTAATCTATTGCTTTTTGAAGTTTTTTACTATGTTGTAATGGTGTAGTACCATCTTTATCATAACACTGACCGGAACACAAGTCATTGGCACCAAAGAACATAGTAACTAACTAATGGTATTAAAACTAATATAAATTAACAAATAATTTGATATACATAAAAATAAAAATAAAAAATTTTTCATACTTTCCAGTCATTTTTAAAATCAATAGATGAATCTCTTTTCATTTTTTTCACTAAAAATTGTGCTTGTTTGTACGCTTCGTAGTCAGCTGATACAGGAAAAGCGACATTCATATGAGAATTAGGTGCTAGAAACTCACCCTTTCCTACAGAGTATCCTTTTAATGCGGGGTTAAACTCTTTAAGGATGTTCGGCAAAGTCAGATAAGAGCGCCAAGTTGCTTCTCCTCCTTTGGCAACAATAATGTAATTCATTTTAAATGATATTTAATACATTGTTACTTATATTAATTTCATACCTGCTGCCCAAGAAACTCCGCGATACTCAATTAAAGTACCCATTGCGTATTCTTCTAAAGCGCCATTCCCAGCTACTAAGCTATCTCCCATTGCACCAATGACGTCTATGTCACCAGGTCGTAGTTTATGAACACTAGTTGGTCGGATCATACTTCTTCCAATACCTGGAGCTGTCATATTTTTACATGGAAAAGGCAGTGTCAAAGGATATGTTTGCTGTCGTCTTATACCGGTGGGATTGGGTGACGTATTAACAGTTTCGGAAACTGCAGAAGTCTGTTATAATTAAGTAATACAACTGTAATAACAGATTATTATTTTTTGTCTATTGTAAATGGTTACCATTCTGCTCAATCTTGCGCTTATTCTAGATGGTATAAGTTCATTATATGTCAACCTTTGTGCAGTGCACAGTAAGACCAAATAAATCAATATTGAAAAGTTTGTAATCAGCATTGTTTTATTTGATAACGTCAGTCATTTTGAACTCATTTTTTGTATATCCATTGTAGAGGAGACTGTTTAAAAAAGTTCATACTAAGTGTTATATAAATCATGTCAAATTTGAAATTTTGTATTATTGTGTTAACTATGTACGTATATAGATAATAATATTTAATTAGTTTAAATATACCATTCCAATACCAGTTTCTGTCGTCACTATTTAAATATATTGCACCAGATTAAATAACAAATCAAACAATTTTTTTTGACCCGATATTAACATATACATTAACTATCGTTTCATGTCTACTCTATGTGTTTAAATGCTTTTAACTCAATAAGTACTTATCCTAAAATTTTATCGACTTAAAAAAAAAAAAAATTAAGTAAAGAGTTAAAAAATAGCTATTTTAAAAAATAAAATAAATTATTTTTTAGTTTTTATTAAATCATTATTTTTAATGGAAATATTGTTTATACATCTGGGTAAAATATAGTTATTGACCTAAATGCTGTTATCATAGGTAGTTGAGGATAAAGTAGTGTGCAATCCTAAGAAATTTTTAGAGCAGTTGAACTCCTAATAATTAGCACAATTCCCAAAAATGTTTAAAAAAATACCTTATACTAGGTTTTTATATGATTGAATTATATTAAATCCCTATAATTAATTTGATTGTTTTTAATTAAGTTAAAAATTTTCATCAAGATGTAATTTTGTTGACAATATAGCACAGTAATTATGTAATAAAATTGTATCTTCATCACTTTTTAACTATTTAAATAACATATGTACTAATGTGATTAATAATGCATCCTTGAGTTTCTACACATCTTCTTTTAGTGTGAAAAACCTTGTATATTCTAGGTATTAAAAATAATAATAATAATAACAAATAGAAATGACAAAACTATAAAAATTTAATAAAATTATGAGTAATATTATTTATTATTTGAAAATGGCAAAAATGACCAAAAAAACATAGGTGTAAGTGAAATCCAACAACACATCAGAAGAAGAAATAAGGAAAAAAATTTCTACTTTAAAATGTCTATTCATCGATTCTTACATTTGTTTAAGATTAATCATATTTATGTTTGAATATCAGGTTATATAGAACTAATTTAAAAATATTTTTTGATTGAAACAATTATGCTTAAATATAATTTTAATACTACATAACATGTAAAATGTATTATATGCAGTATATCAATGTATTCTACGTCATGTATTGTGTTAATTTTTTCACATTTTTTCTTTTAGACATCAAAAATATTAAATTTCAAAACACCAATAAAATTTATTATTTATTTTTTCTCTCCTGATAATTTTTAAAAGCGTTATATCCATTTTTGGAAAACACCCAAAAATTTAAAATATATTTTCAATTATGAGAAATAAATAGATAAAATAAATTTGGGTAAACAAATTGATGCATAACATTGTATCGTTTAAAAATTAGTAAAAAAAAGTTGAAAACAGTTATTTGAGTTTAAAATATAAATACATTGTAAACGTTTTATAAAATAATGTTTTCACTTTTATTGAATTTCAAGTAATTAATTGCGACATATAGCTACATATTTTTTAAAATAGTTATAAATTAACAGTGCTCAATATTTAATTTTTAAATTGTTCAAGGGTACTGAAAAGATATATTAAAGGCTCTGTTGAACATTGCAATTAATAACCTGTTATTATTTATATTAATTGTGTAGCAATGTTTTCTTATTTTTAAAGATTCCATTAATTGGTTTTTATTATCATTTGTATTATATTTCCTACTATTTGATCGTAAAATAGGCGTGCTCTCCCTAAGATATTTTTTATGAACGAAGTATAGTAAGTTCTTTTTTAATAGTAACCAGTCGCTGGTAACCAACTGTACCATTACATGTGTTCTTTCGTTTATATTGTGAAGAGTTATATCATAGTTGATAATCAATCTATCATAATGTCAAAAGCTTAAATAACAATTTTTGTTTTATTTCGCACTATTTATTATCACAAATTTAATATTTATGAGTTTACTTTGGTAGTTAAAGAAAATTGGATAAATTGTATAGTAAATGGAATAATTAATCAAACCATTATCATAAAAATATTTAAATTCTAAATTACATTTCATTCTAAATTGTCACTGAATGAATGTACATGTTTTCTTATATTTCAAAATATACTAAAATTATTTGAATTCATTTTATAAAAAAAAATTACTAATAAATCGAATTGTGATTTTTATAATATTTCATTTAGTTATTACTCTACTAAAATTACTTAAATGAAAATGTTTAACTTGATCTAGTCTATTGATAGTATTAAAATACAGAAATTCAAAGAGTATTGAGATTAATTAATATGGAAATAATTTGGAAAGTTGTAATGAGAAGATCGAGAAGAAAACGAGTGTAAATATATTAATCAACACCTATAATTAATAAAACGTTTACGGAATAAGGAAATGTTTCCGTCGTATTAGTAGATAGTGTTCAACTGATCAAAAAACGATAACTACATGTGTAGATGATAAATACCTTATAACGATTATTATGCTGTTAATATAAGTACTATTATCATCTGTAATATTAATCTTTATGAGCGTCAAGTATTGTCATAATTCATTATTATGTAAAAATAATGTATCATTAAAAATAAATTTTGGTGGTATAATTTAAATGCCTTTACAGTAAATGATAAATAACGTCTGTTTTCATTAGTATCATTAATAATATCAAAATTCAAATTTTGTAACTTATCAGCTTTTGGAGAATATCACAGAATTTACCATTCGTAGAGTAAAATTTGATCCTACATTTGATATTGTTCCTACAGTACGTATAGTTAATACAAGCTAATTGATTTTCTCTCGTTTGAAAGTTCTGCATATAAAATCGATACACTTGAAGAATTTACACTTTTATAAAGTTCAAAAGGAGACTAAAAAAAATAGCTACCATATCATTCTGTTTTATAAATTTATTATGACTGCTAAGATAAACAAAACATTTATTATGGTGAAAAAGTACGATGTATTCATACAGTTATAAAATAATCAGAAAAGGGAAGAAACCGGAATTTGTCCTGAGTTTTCACTTTTTATATCCGGTTATACGGTACTCTAATGTTTCGTCGAATAGGCCTATGTAAGGGCTTTGATTTATTTATTCTCGTATCAATCTATGCCCTTTTTACTCCAGTCACGGTCATTAAACTTTGAGCCAAATAATAATGTTTCCTGTATTGCTTAGGTTTGCCGGCAGTCGTTTCATAAGTGCAAAAATACGCGTATGATGACTACAATTTGAGGAAAACAAGTTTGCACAGTCTCTACATTCGCGGTTTTTGTCAGAAACACGAGTATTATTTATTTCGACATAATATTATTACTATATGTTTGCTTAATTGCAATGGAACCGGTTCGGGCGTTTGAAAAGTTATTGAAGGAATAGAAAATCAGACACGAAGGGAGATAATTAAAATAAGTTTCTAATTAAAGTATTTCCCCATAAACCTCTCTTTAATGTACCAATACTCATGATGATAATCTAGTGATAATTCAAATAAATTTTGTCTAACAATAATAATTATTCCAATGATATTGCAACGATAAAAACTCAGAAATGTAACTATATTAATTTCGACGGTTACCAAGGTTAAAAAATAGAGTAATTATTTTTTATTTAACATAACAAGCAAATTATATTATCATAAAACAGTTGTAAATAATAATCAATGTTAAAAATATTTGAATTATATATTTTTCAATCAAAAACATTAAATTTAGTTTTAGTTAGAATTTTCTTCTAAAATGGTAAAATAATCAAAACTAGTTTTAAATATACTAAAATAAAAATAAAACTACTTATAATGACAACCTTGTTTGTAATTGATATTAAAAATTTCGACACCTAAAGGATCAAAAGTATATTCAAAAAAGAATATCATATTGTGATTACATAATTAAAAAATTGTTATAATGTTCATTTTTCAAATATAGATAATTAAAAACAATAAACTTTTTGTTTTCATAAAAATGTACAACGTGTTAAAATTTTAATTATTAATGTAATGGTTTATTTCATTATTTTATCAAATAAATATGATTTTGAGCAAATTTAACCCTTTGGTCTAATACACATTAGGACGTTTTCAATCTATGTCTATGAGTAATAATTTTTGTATTAAATCCTAGGTTAATATGTAAATATTAATAAGAAAATTTATTAAATTTTGGTAAACTTGTGTCACTCTATGAATTTTCAAAATTAATTATTTACTTATTTTTTAGGGATTTTTTATAAGGAATAACTAAGAAAGAAAATAAGTGTAGTTAAGGAACAAAAGATAAAAATTAGTTACTACTGAATATTATACTTACTCAGAGAAGATCGGAGCCGGCCATAGAGATCCGAAGAAAGTCGAATTACCTACTAATAGTAAAATGTGATCGTAACAAAGCGGAGATGCATCTGCACATGTCTTACAAACCGGCAAACGGTAGGGCGAAAAGCTAAGGTGGTAGCAGACATACACTTAACGGTAGACTTTTGTGGGGGGGCAATACAATTACTCAATACTTTGTTGATCAGAGACAGTGGTAACATAAAACGTGCGTTTGCTTACGTCTGTGACGTCAGGACATGCACAGAAATTTAAATTATTTATCGAACATGACAATATTATTTAATTCAGAAGTATATAAAAATTCAATTCGGATAATAATTAATTAAACCAACTTCCAATAAATTGAGTGTTATTTTTCAATAAAAATACTTTAGTCACTAAAGTTTAGTGAATTCTCAGTTGTAATTTTGACTGTCACATTATATTAATGGTTCAATTATTTGTTCTGTATAATTTACACATCAACACACTATAATATTTTTGATTGATGAAGTTTTTAAATTATTCTTTTTAAATTACAAAAAATATTTTTCATTAAAATATTTTATTCACTGAAATGTATTGAATAGAGATTATTCAATTGTATTGAACTGTAGATCAGTTGCATCAGAATAAATACAGCGAACAAATATGACCAGTTTACAAATTTGCAATTATGTATTTATTTTATCTAATTAAAAAAGGATAATGTAATTTATTAATTTACAAATGTTCATTTTAAGATGTGAAGTTTTGAAGTATAGAAATTTTGAAATTTACACTAATATAGGTAGTTAAAAATAATACCTAAATTGTTCATTTATTAGAATGAATTATTGTTATTAAATTGAATGCAATACTATTTTCGTAATATTACAGAAGAGTATAATATACTCTTCAGCGTTTCTTATCACACTATGATATAAAAATATAACCTAATTTTTCGCTGTATTTCTGAAATATA